TCTAGTCTAGAACTTCATCTAGAGGATGGCAACTCTGCCTGTGACGGGGAGGCTGGAACCTGATGATCTTTCTAGATCCCTTTGATCCAAGCCATCTGTGATTTTATGTTATGTTGCATTGAAGAAATGCAAAACATTGTTAACTCACCTAATGATTAGAAACCATGTAATGCATGCAGTAGCAGCTGGAAAATGCATCTAATACATACTAATACGTCTTCAGAATACAGTTTGCATTCTGGGAACAAATCTACATTCAAAATCACCTTCAGTTTGGATTTTTCTGCCTCATCCGTCCCACAGCAAAAGTAGCAATGTAAAGAACAATACTACTGTAAAATAAATAAACAAGGCAAAACAAACCTAAACCACTTGCATTCTGTTTCTTTGAAGTCTGAAGAACTAAAATAAGACTTCTCTCAAGTGGCACAGTAGGAACTGTGCAAAAGCTACAGAAGTTCAAAGACTGGTCACTGAAGCAACTTTAGCCTTTTGAAGTGTTGAATTCACTTTGAAGAGGAAGACCAAACATTGCACTTGTACCTGAAAGGTGAGTTGGAGATCCAAAGCCTGGGATTTTCATGAAACCTTCATGAATTCATGCCCAGCTCCAGCATGCAAGTCTCTCAGAAATTAACAGAACAAAAACAGAGGGAGCTCCCCTGAGCTGTGGAACCTGGCACCACAGCTGCTCAGCAGCAGTCCCACCCATGTGGCAGGCAGTCCTCTCAGATATTTTTAAAAGTTTTATGCTTCACTGCAAAATATCAGATTGAAGAATAATTTTTTACTGTCTAGAAATTTGTTTTTTCACATTCCTCCCCTGAAGCAATGTCATCCATTAAATGCAACTGTGAAAACATAAAGTGTAACTGTGCCAATGGCAGAGTAGCGTTAAACAATTGTTTAACTATTATAATAGTTATATATAGTTACATGTATAACTACTATAACTAAATGGTAATTTTAAGAGGAAATAATTCTTCTCAGTGAGTAAGTTTGTATCATAGTTAAAAGAAAAACAGGTTCCAAGTATTCAGAAACCTGAAGAGTTAGCTTACCTTCAAATTTCACCAGTTTTAATCCCTTCCCTTTATCATTCCAGAAAATACAAGTCTGGTTTCAGAAAATACAAATCTGGTTTCAGAAAATACAAGTCTGGTTTTGCTATTCAGAACATTCGTATCTCCTCTGATCTTTCAGAGGCTACAGAGCGCTGCACATCCTCCACCAGGAGTGATCTGGTGCCTCCAGCAAAGCAGTAAGCAAGAAGTTCAAAATCCTTGCTGCATTATTTGTGAGTCTGTCCAGAACAACTTTAAGTAAAAAAAACTAAACCTGAATGCCCTATCTTCCACGCTTTGCCAGTCTGCTCAAGCAGCTAAGGCACAAGCAGAAAAATGGAGAAAAGCTGTTAAACTAGCTGTCAATTACATGTACTGCTGCAGGACAAAAAGCAAACAAGAACCACTAGCACTTGTGCAAGCTCTGTGGAAAAGAAAGCTAGTTCTATTTTACAGATATACATAGTGATAACATAACCAGGGCATACAAGAGTTACTCAAAGATTTGAGTTCTACTCCTAACTTTGTTTCTAAGACTTGACAAGTTACTTTGTCTCTCTGTTTCTGATCTGCACTACAAAACAAAATTTAGTATTTTGTGCTCTTTTGTTTACAGTTTTGAAATTGACTTACAACAGAGTGATGAGTTTAATATCTTAAGTGAGTTATTTCAGTAGAAAAAGCAGATCTCAGAAGAGTACAGAAAGGTATACATGCTTGTCGTAATGAATTTGTAGATAGGATCACAAGAGCAAAAGTAGGCACACGTAATCTGATGCGTACGCTGCCCTTTCAAACAGAGGATGTGTACACAGCCATCTTATTCCTAGCCTGCTACCTTAACGAGAAAAATCCTAACATGAAAATCCTGCTAGAGCCACAATGCATTTTAATATTTTAAATGAGCAGTTTTGACTTGAGAGCTCTGTAGACACATTTATCATTCAGCTGTACAATCACACTATGAACTGTCAACTCCTCATCTCTGTCCATTTTGACAAATTACTCTTGCAGCAGCATTTCCAGTTATCCTTAGTAGCCAACACACCTCATAAATCCACATCATTGTAGTGTTATTAGAATTTCATTTCATGCTTGCATTTGCAAGCATTTAAGCTTTCAAGCTCTGCTGCTGGGCATTAATCATGGAATTAATCATAGGATTAAGAACACCAAATTTAAACTCACGGTTAATAACATGCTCGACCAATATTAGTTGTACATTCTGTCACAGGGACAAAACTTAAATAGATAAATATAAGGTCTTTGTCTGAAGTTTCCAAATAAACACACAGATGAAGGTATTTATTGCATTCTTGTTCCGTTATGAAACAAGAAGTTGCCCAAATTCTACATTTCTTCTTAAAGAAAAATTCACATCCCTACACTCTTGAAAAACCATTTGGCCTCCATAAGCTGATGAAGTCTGTACATTAGAAAAACAATACATCCTTCATAACACCTTGGCTTAAAGTTTATAGAAATACTATGAATCCCCTAAAATATGTTGGCTAGCAGATTAGACAACAAAAATGGACAAAAAAATTCAGAAAGTTCTAGAAGTATAATACCTATAAGAGCACTTGATACAATCTTTGCATTAACTGTGTGCATATTTAGAAAATATTTCAATATAGACTAGCTTATTGCACAGCATTCTAAGAAGCGACACCTAATGAATCCTCTTATTCCATTTACCAACTAGAAGATGTATTTCATTCACCAGCAAGATGAGAATGGCTTCTTCATGCCTCTTCCTGCTAGCTGTGAACTTACAAGCAAAAAAGCCAACGGCTCATAGCATTTCCTAAACGAATAGGTGAACTGCTATTTACTAATACAGTTTTTCATCCAAAAGGTTTAACGTTTAACTAACATACAACATTACCAAGTAATACATTTCCTGAATGCAGAGCTTTAAGTGGTAACTTTTCTCTGCTTCACCAACATCCTGAAAGTTTGATTCAAAGTTTCCCTAAGAGTCTTGAAAAGTTTCAGCTGAACAAAAGAATTTGAATCCAATTTCCACTGTCATAACTGAGTTCATAACAGAACACTGTTAGTGTACTCATCCCTATAGACTTGGAAGTTTATTTCAGGAAGGTACTATGTATTTGGCATACTAACATATGAGTGCAATGGTCCTGATCCAAGATATAAGGTCCTGGCTACGGGAACAGTAACAGCTACTACTTGCAATAAAAATTGAAGAACAAGACTGGGGCAAGAAAGAGTTCACAACTTGCACCATACCTTCAGAACTTTCATTTGTATGTGAAAGAACAAGTGCTTATGTATATAGGAAGATGTCATGTTTCTAACACAGTTACATCATGCTATCTAACATGAAGCTCTATACTAAGCACCCTTTTTGGAAAGCTGAAGCACTTCATTTAGGACTGGAAGAAAACAGCAATGAAAATGATGCACCTGAATGGTGGTTATCTGCATCTGTACAAGCAAAATTGACGTTCTGAAACATAAGAAGCATCAGGATCAACATCTACTCACATTTCACCATGAGGATGAGCTGAAATATCAATTATGAAAAAGACTAACAGCATCAACAGAGTTTTCAAAACTGATGATCAGAGAAGATTGTCACAGAAAATACTGTCACAAGAATATAAAATATTTAATTTGTCATTTAAGAGCATCAGATTCTCACATTCAGTTGACAGGTACCCTCACTTCTAAGATACATCTGCATTAAAAACATGAAGCATCAGCTGGCTGACAGTACACTGCAACTTCATAATACTGATACAAATGCAACTTCACTAAAACATAACCTTTCAGTAGAAACTTAGATCAACTTCAGATGATTATGAAACTGTACATTCCGCTTCTATAATAAAGTAAATAAAACAGTAATCCTGTGACTTCTCTATCCTAGCTTCACAGCCCATAAATTAACACAAAGTGCTAGCACTGGAGTGAGTCAAATTTGCAGGTAAAGGCAGCATTTTTTATTCCTTTCGATAGGTGTTTAGATATGCATAACTACTACTTCTGCTTAAAGCAATGCCTTGAGAAGTTCAGCTGCCATTAAATGAGTAACCAAACAGAATCTGCTTTCACTACAACCGAGTTACTTAAACAAAAGACTTACTGTTGTAATCTCAGATACAGAATTTAAGAACTCAACCTATTTCCACCCAAATCCTGCAGTAGCTACACAATTAAAGCAATTTCACAGTTCTACAACCACATTAGTTCTCCAACTTGTCTACAGGTAGAAATTCACCATGTATCTATACTATTACCCAGAACCACTGCTGTAAGTTAGCAAAATTTTACTAATAAGAAGGAAAGGGTCAAGTGACTAAATACACCTGATTATTTCTGGCACATACACCACAAGCTGGTAACTGAGCCCACAGAAAAACTCAAAATTTCACCTTGGAGAACAAATATTCAGGAAACAGGAAATCCTCGAGAAACAAGCAAACCAAAGTTTAAGGGCAAGCCCCCTACTCAGCTGTGTACCAAACTAGGACAGACATAAAAAATTTTAACCAACATTATTTTCGAGTGAATTTGCAGATAATGACTTTTGGGGGTTATTATTTTCTGTTAATAGCTTCTAACTTGTTTCACTTTCCAAATTTCACATTCCAAACAATTCCCCTAATATTCCTGTCTATTGCTACCTCAGGAGCTACACAGATAAAGCTTCATTCTTCAGTTACACAGGATGTCTAGTGAAAACTCACTCAATAGTTGCTGTTTACACCAATTCAGTTATAAATATTAAGATTCTCCATGTTAGAAACACCTGGAGGATCTAAGAAAAATAGCAACACTTTTAATAATTCTGTTCTAATTGTTTTCTGAAGAAAATCATGATTTGTTTTGAGAAATTGCTTGCAAATAGTTTCCAAAAACTACAGAGGCATCTAATGTTCCCCTTAGATGGACAAAAAAATTACTGACCTCACTGAGGTAAATAAAAAAGGAGCATGTGGACCCATCTACACCATAACTTGCATAACAGGGATCCGATCGCCACATATCTTTCATCCACTGAAACAAAACAAAGATACAGTCTGTTAGGGTTAAGCACCACATAATAACTCTAAATTACACTATTTCACACTGAAGTCAAAAATAACAGAGGAAAGCTGTGAGTCACTATATCCAAACAAACAAAACTGACAAATAACCAAAAGGAAGTTTAGGAATATTTTGCAGCATGCTGCATGTCAGCATTCAACTACACTGGGGAAGTAATTACATACCAAATTTGAATACGGTTTATACAAAGTGATAACCATGCAAACAGAAGCAAATATCAAAAAGAAAATATATTCAAGGATTCACACATGTGGGTGTGGCTGGAGTTGACTCCTATTGCCCTGTTACAGCTGCTCTGGAATGTAACAGGCTGTCTGAATTACAAAGATTGGAATCTGCCTGATTCTGGCAAGAATCTGACATTTCTGAAGCAGCAAATGATTCATTTACAGTCTTATTTTAGCAGCTGAATGATGTATTACATAGCCACTTCACAGCCAGTATGTGAAAATGGACCAGAACACAGGCCAGAGAATCAACAGTTAGAGATTATCTTTAAAAAAAATTAAAAACTGAAACCCTCCCCCCCCTCCCAAAAAAAAAACAAACCAAAAGTGAGTCAAAGAGTTTTTATTTACAGAAAAAAAGGTAACAAAACTCTGCATGGAATTCTCCAGTTGTGTACACCTTCAGTAAAAAAAAAGTAATACTTGATAATTCTATGTGAACATCCAGCAATTTTCCTTTTAGTCCAACTATTAACCACAGTCTCCTTACATTTGTTGAAATGTTTGGGGAAAAAAAAAAAAGGCCAATTTTTGTAAGTTTATTATTTTTCTTTTCCAGTGGATGTATGATGATTTTCCACATTTAGTCTTTCCAACTGCAATACTAGTAAAATGTATGATTTACAGAGAATTAGATGTATATCCTCAAACCAGAATGGAATGATCTTGTTTTATTTACATTTATTTTTAACTATTTTTTTAAAGCTTTCCATCTAAATGAAGTTTTAGGGTGAATTGATAGATGTCATCATCATGAACAAGACAATGGCTTTCTGTTTGGAAATGGAACAACTTCTCTGCTGGGAGCCTAAGTTCTAAGTTTTGTAGTGACGTGTGCTCCTAAACATCATCTTTTTGACTCAACTTTTCTTCCCTTACACCACTGAGTAGTGACTTCTTGCAACAGATATTCAGTTTTTAACAAAATAAATGTAACAAATTAAAAACAGCTCACAGTTACCTTTATTTTCCCTTCACAGTGAGGAAAACCATCCATAGGAGGCAATTCACACTGTTCTTGGGCTCCATTTATGAGATCTAGAGAGAAACAGACCACAACTGAATTTCATTTCACAGTTCTAACAGCCTAATGAATCCCTCCTTTTAAGAATCCACATCCAGACACATCTGAAGAATCCTACTATGTAGCATTTGTTATAACATTAAAACTCAGAAGACAGCTCCTTTACTCATCCTTACTACATTACTACATTATCTGTTTTGAACTACAGTTGGAAACAGAGTAAACATCCTTGTAAGCTATCAGAAGTGTAGGGTTTTCCCAGCATGTGTAGCTCAGTGTGCCCATACTGCCACATAAGCTTACTCCTGCTTTGTTCCCAGGCTTCCACCATCCTTGTTACTGTTAGAGCTTTCTCCTTTGGCTGGAACCAGATGAGAGTATATCTTACGTATTCCATGGAAATTTGGGACCATCTCAAGCAGGTACCAGCAATGCATATTTTCAGATAGATTACAAAGACAACATGAAGCAAATGGAACACTGGGGATGCTTATCAACACATCATGATCTTCCAAATCTAGATACAAGTAATGGGTTGTTTCCAACGTGGAAAAACACACCATTAAGTCTGACATAAATGCTATTTTTGATGGAAAACAGTATTTAAGAAATGACTTAGATTTTTATCCTTAATTAGGGTTTATAGCAATTAAAACGCAAATTACAAAGCCTCTTTCCAGCCAAAGCTTGGAACTTCAAGCCAACAGTTAGAAACACAAGAACTGTCAAATCAGTACAGAACAATACTAGATAAGACAATTCTTCCTCGTAAGCTTTGAGTCACGACATCAATTTCCTTTCCACAGACACTGAGGTGTTTCGAACCTAACTTAATTCTTACTGACAGGGAATTATTTAGCATCCCCCTAACACATTAGTACATTGAAAGTCAATGGATTGACAAACTGAAAACAAGAGTGTGAGCACATTATAAATCTATGAGCTCACAGATGCTTTTTAATGCAGCGCTCTATTAAGTGAGGTCCTGAGACACTCAATACATCATTGCAAATCCATCCTGATGTTCAGACAGCCACCATGTGTTCACTTCACAAATGTCTGCAGCTGTTTAAAGATTAACAGCTCTGCATCAGAGATTGCTGGTGCACAGCAGGTGAAACTGAACTTGTGAACAACTATGAGTTATTTCAGTGCAAAGTCTGGCACGTTCACATGACTGACTTGGCAGATCTAAGCTAAGCCACCTGATCTTGCACCAGAAAAGGTATTTCTCCTTCGTTGCTGTGCATGAGTAAAGAGAGATTGGGTAAAGTCACACGCCTCTGACGTTACGCTATTTGAACATCACTTCACAGGTACAGACCTTCATTGCTCTCACAACTAATCACAACGTCAGGAGTTGTTTGTTTTACTGAAGCTTCATAGCCCCCAAGAGAAAACTATGGCTCAAAGAGCAATCTGCAATAGGAAAATGATTTCTTGTTTGCTTGCTAATCACTCACTAACAGAACAGTAAAAAGCAGGATCACTGAGTGCTACATACATGTTTTGTCCCTTTGCTACACGCACAGCCTTCAAAGGAAGAATTTTATGAGAGGCGTAAGAATTTTTGTGCTGTTCTTTCTATCATACAGTTAGAAAGACTGGAAAAAATTCATAAAGATGCAAGCTTAATAATAGTTACAATTAATAGAAACAAAGACTCAAAAGAATAGTAATTCAATAGTGATTATTGCTTGGTAGGTATTTCATTTGTCATAAGTTTTAAAATAGTTCTGCTAGTTAAAGCAAATAAAAAAGCCACAATAGTACTGAACTTGCAGACTGTGATACCAGCAGCCTATCTTGCCTTCTAAGGACCAACTCTTCATTCTTCAGAGAATACAAACATCTGAAGAATTTAACATGACATAGAAGCTTGTACACTTAGGAATACTGAGGCCCAAACCCTCATTCCTAGACTAGAGCAAAAAAAAAAAAAAAAAAAAAAAAAAGCATATAAAAAAACCCGTGATTAATTCTAGCACACATAATGCCTCAACTCAAAGCGTTCCTGTCAGTTTTCACAAAAGCAGAATTCTCCTTAGTATCAAAAGGACAGAGTAATCATCTCTCTTTTTTCCGCTTTTGATCAATCAATAAACATATTGTTCTTACTTCAATTCACGTAATCTTCTTTTTGCTTCTATGTCTGTCCAGAAATCTGGCATTTAAGGTTAGAAGCAACACTGCAGTTAAAGGCTTTTTTGTTTGTGCAAGATCTCCCTTCCCTTCTCCTCTAATTAACACATTCTGAATTTAACTCATATTTTCCTCTCCAGCTGGTAAGAGAGAGAATTTGCAGTGTGAGCTGAACGAGCTATCAATGCATTCAAAGAAATCAACGAAAGGTTACAATAATTTTAAATGCAGAGCACAAAATGCTTCCTACTAACATTTTAGAATCTTCAGTAGCAAAAGCATTGGTATGATTTAGAGAAAAATCGCTTTCCTACTGCTAGTCCATCCTCACACCAGCTGTGCTGCTGTGTTCCATTAACACAACTGAAATCGATGCAATGTTAGGAAATTTCAAGTAGCAGTCAAGTGGTTAATCAAAATGCAGCCCAGGGGACCACTAACAGCCCCTTTCAGCATTACTAATACAGCTTAGCACTGCAGTGGAAAATAGTCATGTGTGGTCCTCTGCACGGTCATTACACTGTGCTGTAATGGTGAGGCTTGAAAACACACAATTCTCCTTAGCTCCATGTGCTGTTGGATTTGCAGGAAGCAAACTGACAGAAAAGTGGGAAAAGCTGCTTGCTATTATATGCTGTGTGAAAAAAGAATACAATGGATAAGGCACAATAAATATGAGTCTCAGCAAAGCATTACCTCAAGAAAGCTATAATCTTGGCTATAAGAATCAGTGCAGCCCACATCCTATTACATCCGGTACATCATGATGTTTTGTGAGGACTAGTTTGGTTTTCAATGCAGCACCATGGATAATATTGTACCTGCTATTTTAACTGAAGAAAAGCCCTCTGTGGTGCTCTTAAGAGGACAGCATTGGAAATTCAGAACAAGCAGCAATACTTGGGCTTTTTTTTTTTTTTTTTTTTTTTTTTAAAGTTTGTCTCTGCAAGCACAGAACTATGGGATAAGGTAGAGTTGCAGACAGTTAAACAAACCTCTCCTGTGCATAACAAAGTTCACTGGAAAGAGCCATAGAAACAAATCAACTCGTGAAGTTATCCGATTCTTCCTTCCCACCTAGCAGCCTTCAGCACGTCACCTCAAAGCACGCAGGATGAAGTGCATGAAAACACAAAGACAAACATTCTTTTCACCATAGTAACATTAAATAAAAATGCCTGTTTTCAGCATTGCTGAAACTGACTTGTCAGTCTGCCTTGCTACATGTTCACAAAGGTGCCAGATATCTGACAGGCATCCATGCCATCATCTCTTAGATGACAAATACTGAAGTCTGCAGCCAAATTAGTCTTAACATCTTTAAAGTTGCTAAAGAGAATTCAACAGCCTATACATCAGAACATGTTCATGCATAAGCTAGAAATGCTCTGGAAGCTATGAATAGATACAGTGAAAATATTCTCCTTTTTTGAGTAGTGCAACAGCTCTCCAAGAACCAACCATGTTCAAAGGGGAAGTAGGGGGAATTTGACATTAACTTTCATCTGCTATTTTTATGGGATCAAAGACATACTTAAGATCTTCCTAAGTCATATTTTTCAGTGCAAAAGAGCACTTTGTAAACAACCAGACGGGCACAGCTTTCAGTGCTATTATACCATCTAAGATAGTGACAATTACAAAAAACATTTGTTTTTACTGAACATGCACAGAAGTACAGCAAGGACAATGGTCGCAGAGTACCTTCACCCTTACTTCAAGTCAATAGCTTTATTTCAAAAAATGTTTTGTAGCATGCATATTCATTATTAATACCATTATTGTTTAGCAGCACTCTAAAGAATGAGGAATTGTATCTGTTTCCTTAAATTAGACTCAGCTATCTGAAGTACAGAGCAAGGGTTCACAGCTAACAACAAAACCTACATCACACAAAACTCACATACTGCTTATCAGAAAAAAATCCCATGAAGAAAACAGGGCAGACTCTTTGATTATTTTTGTGCACGGAGATTGTCTTCCGTGATAAAATATGCTTAGTGGAATTCTATCCTACAAAGCCATCAAGCTGAATGACAGTTTATCATAGAAAAGCCCTAATGTTAAAAACCAAACTGCCTAAAAGAAGTTGATCTTCTGCCTGTCACATAGATCCAACCACTCAGCTGCAACAGAAGCTGCGCTGTGGACAAGCTCTGCTTGAAAGTGCAGTGATTTCACATTCATCCATTTCTATTTTATCACCTTAGAAACAGTAATTTAAGATTTACCTAGCTTGTTATTATTGGCAGTGTCTCAAGGCTTCCTGTTTAAATTTGAGAAAAACTCTTATCTGCTATGCATCTATGTTTAGATTGGTACCTGCTTATGTAAACAAGAAAATATTATTTGTCTCAAAACCAGAGAAGATGGCTACCAAATCTCTCTAAAGCTTTTGTCCAAATTTTTTTGAATGAAAGTAGAGGAGATAGAAAGAAAAAAAGATTTCATTGCATCTGTCAGTGACCGGCTGAAGTCTTGTAAACATCTCTGTTAACATTTTACTCTTCCATAAATCTGAGATTCTGAAAAAGCAGTTGAAAATTGTCAGGGTCAAATCAACAAGCTTGCTTGACATTTTTGAGGAAGGAAGAAGAACAAGGAAAGCACGCTTGTAATTTTACACAAGGACCTAAGAAGGGGGAAAAAAAGGAATACAAACTCCTACACAATCTGCTACACAGCTTTGCTTTTTAACATCATCCATGCAGAGATCAGCTCACATCATCCTCAAGTAGAGATCCCATGCTCAACTCCTTTTGGATTAGGATTAAAAATATTTGAGACAGAAAGAGCTCCTGCTTCATTATCCTCTCGCTCAAACCAAAAGAAAAAAGAAACTAGTTTGCTCCTAGAATCATAGTATCACTCAGGTTGGAAGAGCCCACTAACATCATTTAAGTCCAATCATCAAACCTGACTTCTCAACGAAAGATTCTACAAAATTAAGAGGAAGAAACCAGATGTAGCAACACACGACTAATAATAATCCTAAACAAAATACAGATGTGAGTAGTCAGGACATTCTACATGTAAGCGAACAATATAAGTTGTCTAAAAATCCAAAGGGGAAGAGAGAGATTCTGGTCTCTGAATTTAGTGAACTGAAGAATGAATCAAACATAAGCTTGAATTTACCTACTTCAGAGGGAGCCAAGCTACAGACCTTGCTAAATCCTCAACATTTCCTCCCACTGTTACCACCTTTTTATCATGAAGAAGTATAATCCAGATGGATTTTCCTCAGATCATTTAACACGCCAAGAACTTCACACATCACTATGAAGTGATATCTTCTGCTGCAGATTTCACCACTGCTGTCTCAATTCTACAGCACATTTGACAGCCAGAGGTGGAACAATGAAAAAAAGCAAAACAAAAACAATAGAACACAACTACATTTCTGTATGCCTTGCCAAGAGCACAACTGATAAGAGACTTTCAGAAAGTGATGAAATGCTAATTCCACATGGCCCCTAGATTTTAAACCCTCAGTGCTATTCCTAAGTTGTTTGTACATCTGCCCCAAAGTACAGTTATAAATATTGTTCAAAGCATACATTTTACTTATGTTAAATAATGTCCAAATAGCAGCCTATCTTGGGTTTAAGCATGATAATGAGACTGCTGTACTAAAACTCATGGGCTCTGTGCCAAGTAATATCTATCACATAAATTTAGGTTCCTGTGGTCAAAGCATGGGCTAAAGGACTTGATCAAAACTGTTTTAGGAAGCCACAAACAATTCTATTGGGCTGCTGTTACAAGAGATCAAGAGCCTCCAAGGGTGCTGCTAGGCAGATTTAATTCAGGTTCTGGTTATATTACTAATCCTAAAATAAAGATAGATAAGTATTCAAAACTGCATTCTTTTTCCTTCATTGACAGGCTCCTTCACAGAAAGCATTGCTCAATCTGTTATGAGGTAACGATAATTTTATGATGCAATTTATTATTTTTTGCATAATACACCAAGTTGTAAGTCCTCCCAGTTAAACAACCATCTGGACCCCTGGACTCTGTGGCTCACATTATCTTACATTAGATACACAGGCTACATTGTTTGTTGAACACTGGTTTAATATATTTTACATTGAATCTTTGTTGTCAAGATTCTGGATGTTTTACCTCTTCCTAAACAAATTCACCTACTTCATCATTTTCATACTCATACTATCACTTACTTTCCAAGAAAACCTAAGGAAGAAGCTGATAAAAGCTCAATATGACCTTCAGTTGCCCTTCAAATAACCTCATACAGCAGTTCCAGTTGTTTTAAAAGTAGCTACAAAAAGCAGCAAGATTGTGTATTAGGTCTCTCCTCATTTATATGATTCAGATGACCTTTCTTGTCTGTTTCTTCATATTTGAGGTTGTAAGGTCTGTGTACGCCTTTATTAACCCTGTCATAGAAGAGTTACAGGCACTTGCTGCCCACTAACAAACACTGCAGAGCTGTTCAGGCACCTGCTGGGACCATTCAACATCTGGATATGTATACCCACAAAAGAATATTAGAAAAGCACATAGAAAATTTGTAGGGCTTTTTTTTTTTTCCCCCCACTAGAAAGATAACAGATTCAACATTAAGAGAACGTGGTAACTTCAGCTTACACGTAGTGCATTACAAGCAACCCTGCAAGTTTCTCAGTTACACATAAGAACTTTCCTGGACCAACAGATATCTTACAGTCAACGGGTGTATGGGCAAAATTAAATATCCTCTGATCTCAGCTCTTTGAGAAGCACTGCAGCGGGTTTAAACAAGATGATTTTTCAACTACTTTTTCAGTAACTGCAACTGGCAACTATTTCTCAAAACACATCCTCTCCAGCACTGTGTGGACTACTCGCATACTCAAACACAAAATTTGCATCTAGGCTGAAAAACAGGAGGAAGACAAACATACATTTTAATACGATGAATGGAATTCTATTTCTGTACTGCCATTCTGGTTGTCTGTATGGACATTGTGGAAAATTAAAAAAAAAAAAAGAATTCCAATGTGGTCCAATTGGCAGTGCCTTAATCTGCCTTAATACACGGAGTTGTGCAATCCATAAATCTGAGTCATAGCTACATTCTTGTCATGTTTATTACAGTCTGATAAAATCAACTAAAAAAAAAAACAACAACCCAGACTAATTCTAGTTACTGGACTCAGAAACTAAACTAGAATACTTCCATTCTCATGCTCCTCTGCCCAGCATTTAAAAACTTACAATTGTGCTTACAATTGTTTTCTCAATTTCAGGCATATACCTAAAAAAAAAAAAAAAAAATACCACTTGAGGACAGGCTTTGGAAGGAGAAATGCCCACTAATCATTTTTCTGTTCCTCCCAGCTTGCAGATAAAAAAAAGTCTTTTTTATTTTCTAAATTAATGAATGCGTTAGCAATACGTAAGATCAGCAATTGCAACATTTATTTACTAAGTTTATTTTTGGAATTCCATGCAGTAGCTATGTAACTTCTAGAGTTTGTTACTTTCAGGAAACGACTGTGAAGACAGAAGTAGAAACAAAATTTTCACTTCCATTTGGAAGTGCCTCCACCTTTTGCTTCAAGTGGACAAATACAAGCACTTTAACTAGCAAATACACAAGGATAAGCCATCAGTGCTACCCATCCTGGAGACACCTGAACAGTGACATCATCCAAACAGGCACCAGAACAATATATAATCAAAACTTAAGTAGCTGTCTCTTAAAAGTTTTTCTGCTCTTGCTATTCACTACAGATACTTCAGACATTTCAAACTTAGGGCATCAAAAGTCAAAACTTAAAACTCTAAAAAGGCAAATAGTGCTCTCTGCCACAGACCAAGCCCCAGGCAACAAAAAGCTACATAGATACAGAAGTCTGAGAACTTCTACCAAGCTTCTTAAAATTTGCTTGTCAGTATCAAAACTGTGATAGTTATCGACTACAATAACAACCAAATTCATTTGTCCTAAGCACTGATTAAATGTGTTTTCTGGTCAGACAAAAATCATGGTTCTTTGCTTACAAATGAGGAAGCAATAACAAGAGTTTACTTCTATCACTTCTCTACAAACCTACTGAAATAACAGCATCAAATCTCTCTGTTGTCAAACTATAAAAGGTAAAATTAAAAATGACCTTGGATGATTATTTATAATTTTGAATCTATAGCAATATTATACTAGCTTGCATTCTGACGATTAAGACGTAGTGGTGTATCCCTTGTACTAGCAGCATGGTTTACTCTGACAGCACTCTACAAGTGCAAAATTTCTTCACTTTCTAATCTGTCTTCAGCCTAATGAAGACTGAAAACTTGGGAAAAAATAGTTACTGCAAGGTAAACAGTAGTATAAAATGAATGCAAAGGGCTTGCTAAATTCCTATAAGCGTACTTCTATATTATTTGGCAAATGAGACAGAGAAAACCTCTCTCACTGAGAGACAGTAGGTGCTGAATATCCTAGTACGAACAGAATAGGATAGAGAAGTGAACATTTAGGTCTGCTGGCATGCTTTAATCATGTCATCATTTCACAACCACTCTCCCTGACGTCCTGACAATGGCACTTCCCTACCAAAGCTTACATCTACTCCATTTTACAATATCTGAACACAGTCCCTCAAGATTAGTATTTATTTTGCTAGGAAAGCCAAGCGCAGGCAAGACTTATGTTGGTCTGACTTCTAACATACAATCACTTTAAACTATGAAATATTTACTATTAATAAAGTAGACTATCCCTGTCTGGCAGAAAACATTATTTTCTGCAAGTTACCACAGAAAGTCTTCTCTGAGCTTGTAAAAGATCAGTGCTATTGAGTGTAATTGATTTGGCTTAGACTTTTGTAAGACATTTCAAATACTCGCAACTGAAAAAACACACAGCATAGAGACAGAAAATACAGATTTTGCTATACCCACCTGCTACATTAAGCTTTTCGACTGCTCCTAAGCTGGGAGCTGGAGTGGTAGTATTGTTGGTAGAGTTTGCTCCTGTTCCATTAAGTACAAGATTTTCCACTTTAGACTCCAGTTTCCCAATACGCTGCAAGATATTATCCAGCAAGACTGCAAGTGTTTTCTTCAAATCTACAAATGAAAAGTTAGACTGCTTAATAACGAATGCAAGCTATCAAAAATAGATATGAGATTGAGACTGGAATGTACACACACACACACACACACGCACTTGATCAGTGCACTATTGCTCCCTATTTTGCTTGGCCTTAGATACAAGCTTTCCATGATGTGTAACTGGTCTTTCTATGTACTTTATAAAGCACAGTACAACTCACAGATGTATCCTACATTCAAGGAGAAATATGAATATAAGTGGGATAAAAACAGGAAAATCAGAAAAAAAAAAACATGTTTTCTGATAGTTCAAGTAATAATAAGTTACTTAAACAGCAATGAACATCTGCATTTTACTTATAAGCACCCATCATCTGCCTTCAGGTGTCATTCTGGAGCTCTATATAAACATCTTCACTTTACCTAGAGACACACCATACCCTCTCTGATTGGAATGTCCTAAGAAAAACAAAAGAACTTGACTCTACTGCAAAAGCACATCCCAAATCATTCAGTTTTTGCAAAACTGCCCATCCAACCTACAAAAATCAGCTGGACATTTCAAATTAAGCATCAAGTAGAAAGGAAAAAAGAGAAATGAAGGACAAAGCACTTTCATTTAAAAGTTTAATTTAAAATTAGATTTGACTGAGATACTGGACCTGGAAGTCTTTGCTGTATTACCCAACTATTTCAATAACAAGACCCAAATCCATAATAAAGAGCTCTTAGAGGAACAGAATCCAACATTCTGTCAGATTCTCAGTCAGTTGGAAAATAAATTTCCATTTCCAAAAGAAGGGAAAGCTTTGAATCAGTACAGAAACCTCCTGCCTCTCTTCCACCACTACCAGCTTTTACACTGGCAGAGCGTTGAAATGTACAAAACACCATAAAATCACTTGTTTCTTAAGTCCGTGACCGTGTCTACTTATCTGTTTGATCAGATGTAGCATTTCCATTTGCAAGGAAACCAACAAAGGGTATTTGGAGTTTGCCTATCATATAACAACCCCAAAAGTGTTTCATGATTTTTTTTTCTTTTCTATTTTTTTTTTTTTTCCACTTCAGTTTTCTCAAGGTAACGCAAACACTTGGGTAAGCTAAAAGAATTACAGGCAAGAGGAAAAAAAACAGACCACTATCATGTTAAATGTTTATAATTCAAGTGGCAATCAACCAAATAAGATGAAAGTATTGTTCTTTGTTCACTTACCCTTGTCTCAGGATTAAGGAATTTGGTATGATGAATTTACATTATTTTCCCACATAATTACATATATATGTATATGTATAATACCCCTTCTGCTTTCCACAAATTCAGAATCAGATAACTTTCTGATCTGTAAAAGAAAATTCCTCCATACACTTGCAGAGATTAATCTGTCCCAACATCAGCTGTTGTTTTGCCATTCTTTGTACTTTTTCTTAGGAGCAGCTCAAATCTTATGCAAATGTGAGAGTAAATAAAGGAAGGCCGTTACACTTGGAAAGCTCATGTTTATTTTCTCCTAATATAAAGAAGTGCTTTTTATTCAGCGAAGCCATAAAGATTTTTTTTTTTGTAATTGTGTTTTCTTTAGTCTGCTGAAGACTGGAATCTTATGTGCTAATAACATGGACTGTCTTGATATAATTTTAAATATTGACATGGTGCAACACAGTGAAGGACAAAAGAAGCATTTATGAAAATGTGATGTTTCGCAGTGGGAATGCAGAACACACTTAGTGGTAAGTCTGCAGAAGGAAAGAGTGGAACAGGGATTTAGCACCAACAAAAACATGGAATAGAGGAAGCAAATCCAGGAACAATGGTAGAGTGGAATATTCAGAAAAAAAAAAAAAAAAAGAGGAAGAAACATAGTACACAAAGGCATACACAAAGAATCAAGAGAAAAACAGCTAACACTGTAAACTTTTCACAGTAATACCAAAACATTGATATAAGACGCTTCTTGTCAGAACAAAAAAGCAGTGGGAGGCCAATTTGAGAAAGAGATGGCCAAAGCAGAGATTCAAACTAATTTTTGCGAAGCAACCACTTACTACTATAAAAATCCAATACTTAGTGCATATTTGAAGTAGAACTTTTTTAAAGAATGTGTTTGATCCACTGATCTGACAGGCCAATATAAAGTAGAAAGAAAAGAGAGACAGCAAAGAAGCTGCGTGATCCAAATTGACGAATGACTACACAACCTTTGAGTGGGTAAGAGCAGCCAAAGCAAGCAAACTTAGTGCTTACTCTTGAAAACAGGAATATGACTGTGCTCACTAATAGCAATCAGAGGATAAGATTGAAAGAAATAAAAGGCTAAAAATCAAGAGCATATCCTGCGCACTCAGACCTAGCCAGGGCTCTTCTGGTTGGCAATCCTGTGTGAGGCTGGGGGAGACAGAGGGAGTCTTGAAACCAGGTGATCTTTGAGGTCCTCTCTAGCCCAAGTCATTCTGCGACTCTGTAAGAGCAGTTGTCATAGAATAACAAAGCAGCTTCTACCCATTACCATGAGACAGTAATGTGTCTATTCCTAAACAACTAATCTGATAATTTGCTATCACAAATCATCTGGTGTGCCAAGGAGTGACTAACTGGCTGTACTACTCAATTTAATACAATATTATATAATCCAGTGCCATCCACTCATCATAACATTTTTCCCACTGCATTTTTACACGACTTTACATCCTTAAAAAAAAAAAGTTTAATTTGAAAAACCTTGTCTAAACTCATCTTAAAACTAAACTAAATTCTTTTTCATTCAAAGACCTTGAAATTTCCATGCAAAATTTAGCTTTAACTTACAAAAATTTTACGGAGTTATTCCACGCACCTTCAAATGCCTTTAACTTCAAGTTTTTTCAAGTTCCTGGGGAACTTGACCATTGCTTGGCAGCAATTCAATTTGTTCCACAGCAGAATTTAGAACAGGAAATAAAAGTCATAGGCCAAAAACTGCAGGGAGAATTCAGATTAAGGATATCCTGTACACTCAGGCCTAGCCAGGGCTCAGATTAATGCAGTTACCCTTCAACTTCAAGAGAAAGATAAAGTTTTTTTGTTTTTTTTTTTTTTTTCTTCATCAATCATCTTTACAAGATAACGGAACACTGATAATTGTTAAATAGCAGATAGACAATTCACCAGCTGTTCAAGAGATGCTCCTTTCTCTCTACTCAGCAATAGTGAAGCCACATCTGGAGTGCTCCCCAGCAGAGCACCAGCAAGTGATCAGTGGACAGGAGCATCTCTCCCATGAGGAGAAGCTGAGAGAACTGGGAAGACTGTTCACCCTAAAGAAGCAAAGGATCAGGAAGACTTTATCACAGTGTACAAATAACTGAGGCAGGTTGCAAAGATGACAGAGAAAGCTATTTTCAGAGGCGTCCAGGGCCAGGATAAGAGGCAATGTGCACAAACTGGAACACAGAAGGTTTCATCCAAGCATCAGCGAGCACTTCTGTGCTGTGTGCACTGACACAGGTAGCCCAAATAGGTTGTGCAGCCTCCTCCTTGGAGATCTTCAAAAGCCACCCGGATGCAGTCCTAGATATCCCACTCCAGATGCTGGGGCAGAGGTTGGAGAAGATGGGTCCAGAGATCCCTGCCAATCTCAAACATTCTGCAAGTCTGTGGAAGCCTTAAAGGACCTCTACTTGCTTGGAAGGCTTCAGTCCAAATATTTATCTAGAGCCACTCTATTTAGCTTGCACTGCTCCGTAAAATTACAATACTAGTATAGTTCAAAGTGCAAACATGTCAGTAGAAGTTATTGAAGAACTGAATAATAGGGACTCCCTGTTAAATTTAATCAACAAAGCAATGTAATTGTTAGCTAGGTTACAATGATACTCTCAGCCTTACTGGCAAGGACCTTTTCATAAACTCCAACATTCTCCTGTTCTTTTCAGAGGAAGAAGTGGTAACAGAAATGAGAAGTCATCCAGTACAGTATTTTCATTAATATATTAATGTTAAATTCATTTCAAAGAGAAATGAGTGAAAGAGAAAATGACAGAAAATGGTGCAAATATGATCTGCTGCATCCTAACCATCATTATTTCCTAATCCTACAAAAAACCTGATTTTTGATAGCAGAATATTAAGACAAATTTAAAAGGAAACAGATTTAGATGACTGATTTTTTATTAATTATCCAGATAGTCTAAATGTGCATGGGTAAATAGGAAAGAGAGCTTGAAAATAGCTAAAAAGGTGTATGATGCGATTCTATCAGATTAGAAAGAAACCTCACCTCACATAATATTACATTTTTGTTTTCATATTCTTTTCTAAAAATGCTTCATTCACTTTTACATGCTTTGCTTCATGCATACACACACACGAACTTAAGTGCTATCTTGTATGAAATGGACAACAGGAAGTCCTACAGACTGCCAGACACAGCACTGAAATTCATGAAAAGAGCGTTCTCTTCTTCAAGGTAAACATATTACACTTAAGCTTAAATTTAACCTTAGGACACACACATAAGCTTAAATGTCAGGGAAATCGACTGGACATAAATGTGCAATGGAAAAGAGAAGATAAACAGAGCAGGTCTCCACTTCATCAGCAAAACAAGATATTCTTGTACAAGGATTCTGGCAACTCTGACACGCCAACTGAAAAGTCTCCTAAGGTTCTTTCTAACAGCAAAACCACACATTTTTTAAAATCAAGTTCTAAAACGTAACTTGAGGCATAAAATATATGGCTACTAGACAGATGTAGGGAGCAAAAAAACAGATAATTTCATTTCCAAGTGACTGAAAATTTAAATTTTGTCCCGTTTCATAACTCACAAGAAAAAAATGTTCTTCTCCATCTGTGCAGAAAACCTGCAGTATGAAGTACTGTCAGTTGAGCAGCGTTACAAAGTATAATGTTTGGACATCTTAGAAAAGCCCTTGATCAGATTATCATGTAATCTAGAACACATACTTACCGTATGCTGTCACTGTTCCAACATAAGGTCCATCAACCACATTTTTATTTTCTTCAGCTAATGCTTTGATGTATCTTTTGCTGAGATCCAAAATTTGTTCACGCAGGACTGAACTGCTTTCGTGCTGTGTTTGCTGCTGAATAGTGAAATGCAGAAGCATCATTCCCCAAATAAAACCAAAAGTCACCAGAAAAAAGCCAAGTTTCTGAGAGGACAGCTTCCATGGAGAGAATGCCATGATTCCCAACAGCTTCTCACAGTTACTACAAAGGTTCCTAAAGCACAAAGCCAAAGAGTAAGTTCATGGTCCAAGTATATGCAGATCACAGAGCAGGACTCAGTCTTATTCCGACTCCTTAGTCAACATATGTCTGTATTTCAGCTCCATCCTGTTGCAAGAGGAAAGAAAAGTAGCAAAGTTAACACAAAATATTAGAAATTTTTATGAGCTACTGTAAGTCTTCGTCATAACTAGTACTAAAAGATGTTGACAATATGCTTTTTTCCAACTGTTTGATTTGTATGCATCAATATTGTGCTGAGTTACTCAGAGCACAAACAAACAAAGAAAAGCACTGGAAACAGAACAAAGAAAAAGCGATGTGCCTGAGCAGGTGTAGAACACCTCTCAATATGTGGATCAAGTTCAATGCTTGAAGCTGTTTCCAATCTAAATTTCAAGACAAGGTTGCTTCAACGTATTTTTATTTTTCCTGTGTGTACACAAAACTTCATGATGTTGCCAATGCAGCAATTTAAGACGATTCCTAATGTAATTCAGTTCTCAGAAAACAAGTAATTTTAGCTGGCAATGACACTGTTAGGAGATCCTGGCAAGAGCTATGGCATATGGCTAGATAGATGATCAGGAAATCAGACTCCCTCAGGGGTAAAGAGCAAGAAAAAGAAAAAAAGAAATCTACATTATTTAAACCAATACACTCTCCTGGCTTACACAGCAAGTAGTCAGAAGGCTGGAATAATCTCTTCTTGCTCTTGTGTGGCCTCTGCCATGCATCGTTACTCCTTATTCATAAAATGTAATCCAATGAGTCTGCACTTTTCAGCTAAATTCAAAACACGTATTACTTCTGAATGCTACAACACATCTTTTGTATCTAAAATTAATATTCTCAGTGCTTTTCCCACACTGAGGAAAAAAAGTTGGCCAGCTGCCTTCAAGAGAAACAGTAGGACCATCTTCTCACTGTAAACTCAAAGATAAAACCTAGCATAACGTATTCAAAGGCTCAGTGATGAGGGCCGGAGGCAGGGTCTTTAGCATAAAACCCTACAACAGAAGAAAGGTAATTCAAAGGTAATTAAGTGTAACCTATCGTGTTAAAACACAGATTTGGTAAAATGTGATCCTTTTAACTTCATAATGCTCCCAGACAGGATTAGAAAATATAATGTTCTCTTCCATTCTGCACATGCACAGATAATGCAGATGTTGCTTTGTTTTAATAGGATAATTACACAGATGCCTGCTGGCAGTACTCTGGTAAAATTCCCTTTAGATCTTCCCCTTTCAGTTCAACCAACAGCTCTGCAGTAGGACAGAAATGCCTTTGGACTACTCAACTTCCAACACAACTTGTGGGTGCACGTAGCATTACAGATTACTACTGATTGCCAAAATAATTGCGTTAGGCAGAAAACTAAAAGCAGAACAGAAAGTAATTGTAGCATACATTTATGCTGCTAAAAGAACAATCTGTAGCCATCTGTTGCTCAGGAAGAATGGCAAAGAAAAATTGAGACATCACTGAAAAACATTACAAGAGATTAAAACTGCTTTCCATAAACGTAAGTCAATTTCCCAAGACAACACAAACTTCACTTGTTGCAATTCACTTCACTATAGTCTAGGGACACTCTTGGGCTGACTGTAAAGTAGAACATTATCATTTTACTAAAAACTGAATGCTGCAACATCTTTTTTGCTTGCAATATCTGATGTGGAAAAAAAAAAAAAGATGGATGATTAAAACATTGCAATTTCAAAAAGAAATCTGAAATATCCAACATAATTCCATCAGTGACTTGGTTTCATGAAAGAACTGACAGCATAACTCCATAACAGTAGGACCTGTAGTTAAAACACTCAGTATTTCTTATCCCCCATTATCAATTTTACATGAAGATGAAGACACTGAACAAGAAAGTAAACCTACCAGCAGACATGTGCTAACAAGTTTTTTGTAATTAATTTAGGAGAAACCACAGTAAATACTAAAAACAGCAATTCAAAAAATGCAAGTATCATTTTTTATCTGGCGTGCATCTAACCTTATAAGCATTCTCTACATAAATAAAGCTGTTAACTGTCCTATTCTGTTCATCAACAAACAGGAAAAGAATCTTAAATACGTTGAAGAAAAAAAAAAAAAAAAAAAAAAAGAAAGAAGGTAGTCAGGAAATATTGAAGTTTTTCCATGAGAAAGAATCAAGATACTCTGGCAAAGGGAAGAATGGCCCCCACTACTTTGAGTCATAAAAAAGAAATCAGCTCTTATGGAATCATATCTGCATGTGCCTCTGAAGTGTAGCAGACTTCTTTCTTTTTAGTTTTTAAAGCTCTGGAAAGAGGTGGCCTCACTCTAAGATAACTCTTGAAACAATTCCAGCACCTCTCCCAATATGTCCTAGTTGTTCAGTTTTATGTGAAAGTGGTAGGAAGGTGATTCATCCTGATTTTCTGACAACACCTAATGTATCAAAACTAAAGTCAAGTGAGAAAAACAAGATGAAGATAAAAAGATATACAAGACAAAAAAACCCCACACTTTAATAAAAGACCAGTTTTGTTTTGTTCTTCCTTAAATTCAACTCCAACCATTCAAAATCTCATCATAACCAAATCAGCACACATTTTTTCCTTGTTTCAGATACATTTTATTTTCTCTTTTAAACAGATGAGTTCCACCCATTGCAATAAACATAACTCAAAATAGAACTGCCACTGCCCATAACACTCATAGTTAGCACATTTCTTTGGAACAAAGGGCTAACATTACACCCATTCTACACAGGTATAAGAGTTTCAATTATCTTAGTATTTTTAGTATTTCAGTTTCATTAAAGCACTTTTGTGGTCTATACTTAATAAGCCACTGTTTGACAGCTGGACAATTTATCAGTTAGAGAGGATAATACTACCATGCCACATTACCATCATCATAACCCCAAACTCCTCATATGCTATTTAGGATATCAGGAAACTAATACCAAAGTGACCCTGTGTATTGGAGATGCAAACCACACATTTCTCAGCATTCTCAGCCTTAGTGTTACAGGTGAGCTTGTTTTGTTTGTTTGAAAGCTTAAAATACAGTACAAACTGTTAATTATCATGTGAACAGATTCTGATGTTCATCTACAGTACAGCTAGAAGAGATTAAGTAAAATCTCTCTAGTATGTACCTATAGAAAGATTAAAGCTCTCTTGTCCAATCTACGGCTATGTAAGGAATGAAGTCAAAGTAAGCCTGGAACTGCACTATCCTCAGCTAAGATTCTAGGGGAAATTCCACACTGTTCATCAACATCTCCACAGCTATAAAACCTTCATTATTCGTAGCCAAAGCAGTAGCATAAAAGTAGCAGCAGATAAGCATTATTATTAATTTGTTATGAGCTCAAACATGAGCATAGTCATATTGCATGACTAGTAAACAGTGTATAAGCATTTCTGTACCAAGTGGCTCAGTGAAAATAGCACTGCTGCTGTGAGGAATAGACCTCAGGCCTTCCACCAACCGTGAGGCTGAAATGGCCACCTGACAGCCACCCCTTAACAGCATCACAGGGCCCAGGGCTAGGAAGCACCCACAGACACAAAGGTCTCGCCATCACAGGATGCAGCTCCCAGTGCTCCACACAGCATCAGCTCTGCGGTGCTGCGTGCTCATCTACCTACATAGAGATTGTTACAAATTGAGTGCTTTGAAGATGCAGTGACAGTGATGAGGAACGAGTAAGAGATAAATAACAGCAATATGTATCGTTAACAAGTATCGGTCTAGTGAAGTTCTGTCTTCAACTTTTTAAATCTGTAGAAAGCAAGCTTCCCAGTTTCTTCTTAACCATCGTCCACAGCAATCCCTAGTTCTCCTTGCTTCTAATTCTCCTCTTACCCACATGCATGCACAAACACGCACTCAGCCCCAACATCACACCACCACGCCTAACTGACAGATTTTGCTACTGCATCACAGCCAACTCCAAGAGGTTCTCTTAGAAAACCCACACATTAGGATCCTAATGCAAACATTGATCTGTTTTCCAGACTGTTTGCTGAAGAGGCCATGCTGCACTTCTGCTTGCAACCATCTGATACTGTGGAACAACTCCTAACAGGCTAACAGAGGACAAACATCAAGATGTGAGTTTCCTCCACTCTTACAGAAGATACATTAACCTAGAAGTTAATGACAACTCAAGCACCAATTCAGCGCTCTGCCAGCACACCACAGCCACAGCCAGAAAATAGTGGTGAGTGAAAACATTTGCCACATCCTCACGCTCCTCTGCTACGGTGTGCCAGGAGTCATGCTTTGTGCAGAAGCAGATGTAATACATCTTAAGAGACAGGCAACCCTCTAAAACCTCCTTTCTAGGAGAACTGAGTGCAACAGGGATTGTTAGGCTTTCATAGTTTAAAACAGACAGGCTCCAACATACACATACACTAAAATTCCAGGCTAATGTTAGCTCATCTCCTCCTTCAGCTCCATTGCCTAAACAGATGTGCACTATACCCCAACTGAATGCAAATTAATGGATTTCCTGGTACTGAGGCTTTCTGTTCCTGAGGGAGCATTCCAGCAGATGTTCCAGCCATGCTGGTCAGTCTGTGTTCCCAGCCAGCACAACCGTTACCCAAGTCTGCCCGCTTTTTCTTGCTTTACTAGTGGAAGATGACAAGTTTCTTCACTAGTGTTGAAAGCTGAATCCATCTTCTTTCAAGATACAGCATTAATAATGCAATATACTACTACTTACTGCATGTCAGAGTCATGTGCTGCGATCAGAAAAGACAGAAAAAAAAAACAAGCCAGGCTTCTGATAAGAATGCTTGCATTTGAACACAACTTCTAATTTGATCGTACCACCTATGCTTTGACTCCAGTACTGACATGTCAACAAAACAAACTCAGGAAATACCCTCTGATAGCATAAAACCACACACATATCTAATCAAAACCCAAAGCCCTTAACTGCTATGTTGAAGGTTCAGATTCAGCTTCATTGCCATTTTAGTCACTGACTATCTTAAATACAAAAAGCACAGGGCAGACAGTAAATCCAGCTCTTTTCACACCTGGTTACTCTGAAGTGAGGAAATATGTGGTCAGATCAGAGTTAGTCCCCTGATTTCAACAAC